GGGGGGGGGGGGGGGGTTAGGGGGGTTTCATCCCCCTGTGTTTTTTCTCTAACTTAAAAACTTTCATATTAATTGAGCTACGCATAGATGTAATTGTTTGAAAATTCATTGAAAAACGATTGAAATAACAAAAACACCAAAAGAAATTCTTCAGGTTAAATTCTTTCATTTTCTTCATAATAGTGTATTTTCCAGGATAAAAATCCGTACAATCCGTACAATTTGAAAACAAATCCGTACAATCCGTGCCATCCGTACAATCCGTACAATTTTAGGGTAAAAAAAAAGTCAATCCGTACAATCCGTACAATCCGTACATTTTGGCCACCCTGCATATAAATAAGAACGGGTTTTAAACAAATATCTAGAAAGCTTTCCGTCCGCAATGTTTCCTAAATTGTGGAATGCAATTTAATTTGTCTTTAAAAAGAAACTAAATCTGCAAAAATATTCAAACAAAGAGTAATCAAAATATATCTTGAGAAGTATGAGAGGTTTATATGTGGAAAATCTAGTTGTATATCATGTGAGTAGATTTTAAATTACAAAAATAAATAAAAACTGAAACTTTATTAGCTTATTTGCGTTTGTGCATCCATCATACACCCTGTATTTTAATTTATCTCTACATTAATCCCGCTGATCTCACCCTGCCACAGAATACCTAACAATCTCCTTTTCCTTCCAAACAACTCTACTTATCCAAAAACATAATTTGATGTGTGTACTGTGTAACCAATCATATTCATTATCGTTAACTAACTTAAGCCAACCACTTAAAACAAACTATCCTGGTTAAGCGGGTCCAGACTGCATTGTATATTGTGATTGCTTATTTGTAATATCTCATGCTATGAAGTTGAATAAAAATATGAAATAAAATATAAACCTTTAACTTGACTTGAGAAAGAAAATAAGGAAATCTTTAACATGAGAAAGCTTAGAATTAAAAACCTTTGACATGGAAATCTTTGGCCTTTCAGAGTTAAGGTTGGAAACCTTGAATGAAATGGGTTAGGATGGAAACCGAGATAGGTAAGAATGGAAAACTTTGACATAAGAAAGGTTAAAATGTAAACCTCTGACATGAGAAAGTTTATAAAGAAAATTTTTAACTTGAGAAAGGTAAAAATGGAAAACTTTGACATTAGAAAGGTTAAGGTGTAAACCTTTAACTTGAGAAAGGTTAAGATTAAAACCTGTTACACACGAGTAAGGTTAGAATGGAAACCTTTGACATAAAAAAGGTTAAAATGTAAACCTTTGACATGAGAAAGGTTATAAAGGAAACTTTTAACTTGAGAAAGGTTAGGATTGAAACCTTGGACAGCAGAAAGTTCATGATGGAGAACTTTAACATAAGAAAGGTAAGATGGAAATATTTTACACGAGAAAGGTTAGGATTGAAAGCTTTAACAAGAAAAAGGTTAGGATTGAAATCGGTGACATGAGAAAGGTTAAACTGGTAACCTTTGACATGAGAAAGGCTAAGATGTAAACCTTTAACATGAGAAATATTAAAATGGAAACCTTTGACATGAGAACGGTTAAGATTAAACCCTTAAGAAAGGTTAAGATGTAAACATTTGACATGAGGAAGGTTAAGATGGAAACTATTGACAAGAGAAAGGTAAAAATGAAAAACTTTGACATGTAGAAGGTTACAATAAAAACCATGACATAAGAAAAGAAAGGCAACAATGAAAAGCTTGAGGAAGATTATGTAATAAAAACCCAGACATGAGAGTTTAGAAAGGATTGAGAAATGTATCCTACCTGATATTCATTGCTAACATAGTATCCAACCCAGACATGAGAGTTTAGAAAGGATTGAGAAATGTATCCTACCTGATATTCATTGCTTACATAGTATCCAACCCTGATAAACTCCGCAGATCTGAAACAGTAAAATATCAAGAAAAGAGTTTCTATTATTATTATTATTATTATTATAGCACAACCCATCATTCAATGAAATAGGGGTCGGCGCTCCTAGCCTCCGAAACGTATCCATGGGCTGACCGAACTGGTCACCCTAGGGAGAAGACTTACACTAGGCGATCCGCCCAAGACAGCTCCATTTCTGGAGACTCTCTAAAAACCAGGCGGTCCACCCAAGACAACTCCATTTCTGGCGACTATCTAAAAACCAGGCGGTCCGCCCAAGACAGCTCCATTTCTGGAGACACTAAAAACCAGGCGGTCCGCCCAAGACAGCTCCATTTCTGAAGACTCTCTAAAAATTAGGCGGTCCGCCCAAGACAGCTCCATTTCTGGAGAAACTCTAAAATTAGGCGGTCTGCAAATTTAAAAAAAAAAATTCAGGGATTATTGATTGTTAACTCACAGCTGTTCTTAGATAACACAAAGAATAAGTTACAGCCTTAAGTTAAAAAAAAATTCAAATGATAAGAAAAAAAAGAGTATGGAACTTGAAAAATAGACGGGGATCTTAAAAAGTTTCTTAACTAGGAAGTTCAACTAAATAATCAGTTATATAGAAATTGCAGTGAGGTTTATAAGGGCGCATTCTCAACAAAAAAATAAACTTTTATCCAGGATTTTTTTTCTTCTATTTTGATCCTCTACTTTTTCCAGGCTTTAAGTTTAAAAGTGCTTTCTTAACATCTGTTGTTGTAATCCTTGTCACATCTAAAATATGTTCTTCCGTTATTTTAACACTAATATTTCTTTACCTTACTTGGGTTCAGTCGTTTGGGCGTTCATCTGTTACAAACAGACAGACAAGCAAAGTATTGATAAATGTATATGGTGACCAAGGAATATTAATAACTACCTGTAGGAGCAGGTAAGAAGTACAACTGTGACTCCGACAAGATCAGCATCTGGTATCTTCTCCGGGTTCGGAGGATCAGCCTGAAATAGAAATTACACTAAAAATAAGGAAAAATATTTTTTTTTGATAATTTGGGGCGGCGGGGGAAATAATTCGAAATTAAAAGTTTTTTAATCTTTTTGATGCTTTTAACCCCCAAACAAATCTTACGTTTCCCCTAAAAGTCATTTAAACCCATAAAAAAAATGTTTTCCCTCGTACATAAGTTCTGGGGGGCAAAATATTTTCAAAACGGGGGGGGGAGGGGGGATGATTTTATGAGAAATGTATTACCAGTCATCCGAGAAGTGCCATGATATTAAGTGGCGTTTGTACCCACCCATTTTGAAATGATTAAAATGAATAAGCAGACTCAATAAAGAGATATTTCAGGATACAAATTGTTTATTTATGATAATTCCGATATGTTTCCCTGTAGTAGAATATGTGCAAGCCACTTTAGAAGAGAAATAAAGTAGAAAAATAATTTTTCTAAATTATTCATTAATATCTAATTCATCCTTTATTAAAGTTTTTAAGGATACCGTTGTGGACCGGACATTGCCAAATTGTTGCATGGAGGGGCACTTAAAGGGACTGTAAAGGAAAAATGAAAAGGGGGGTATAGGATGAAACCTGAGAATCTTATTTAAAAACCAGAACTTCAGCCAATGGTAGTGCTGTATACTGGTCACGTGATACAGACAGAAATGACGTGACCAGTATACTGCACTGCCATTGGCTGAGGTTCTGGTGACGTAACAAGGACTATACGGATTATATGTAATAATATTATCCATTATATCAATTTAAAAATGCAAAAAAAAAATTATAATAGAAGCAAACCTGAGATTCTCAGGCTCTTGTGTGATAAAATCGTTTTCAGATTGGTTGCGTATTTGCTAAATGTGAATTTTCGTATAATTTTGATACAGTTTTATATAAATTCTCGAGATAGGAACATCAGATGATGTCTTATATGTATTCTCAGGTTTCATCCTAACCCCCCTTTCATTTTTCCTTCACAATCTCTTTAAAACTAAGCTTTCAGTCCCTTCAGTAAAACGATTTCCTAATTACATTTTGAAGGACTCACCTCGAATACAAATTTGTGTCTACCCTCCGGTACTGGTCCAACATATACTGTATCAAGCACCTTAATACGTAGTACTTTTAAACATACCTCTTCAATATTAATACATTCAACAATAGATCTTAATAAAGCTCTTAGCTCATATATAAATATTAAATATATAGGCTAAGAAAAGTCGAGATTTTATATAAAAAATCTACAATAAAAATTAAGTGTTATTAAAATTCCACGGGCAACGCCGGGCAATTCAGATAGTGGATCATAATGAAGCTCTTTGCTCATATTTAATTATATATTTGTATGGATAACCAAACGGCTAGGACAAATTGGCTGATATTTTTAGAGGGAACCTATAGGCAAAAAAACAAGATTTTTTTTTCAAATTTCAATTTATCTTTTATTTCACGGGCAAAGCCTGGCATTGTAGCTAACTGTTTATAATAGAGCCACTGGATTATTATTTCATTGTAGTAAAGATTCAGCAAAAGTCTGCAAAACAATACATTTTTTAGGGAGAAGTAATGATAAAGAACAAATAAGGTTCCCTGAGACCGAATTTAAAGACCTTAAGCTACGGCTCAAATATGAGACACGGTTCAAACTTGATTGGTTCACTTAAAGTGTTTCAAGATTTGAGCCGGCGCTCAACTGGAACCGGATTTTGGCGGATTAGCGACACGTTTTAAATTCTTTAGATTCCGCCTCTGATCGAAATAAAATTTGTACTCTTTCCCAAAGCTTAAAAACCCCTTTTTATGCACTTTTCTTATATTTAAGAATTTCATTTATTTCCGAAATGTTTAAACCTGATCAAACTCTTCCGATTCTGCTGATCCTACATAGATAATCCTCCACTCGAGATCCTCGCATAAATCCTTCAAAAATCATAATTTATATATTTCAAAAGAAATAGTTATATTATTCTTCATAGAAATCAATCAATCAATTAATCAAAACTTGCTTTATCAACCGATACATCAATCAATTAAGCAAAACTTGATTTATCAACCGATAATTCAATCAATTAATCAAAACTTGCTTTATCAACCGATAAATCAATCAATTAATCAAAACGTGCTTTATCAACCGATAAATCAATCAATTAATCATCCCATTTAGAATATATCAATAAACCATTTAATAAATTAAACATTAATACTTTGTAATTATTCTTCCGGTCTGATAAATAATTATATTTTATTTTGTCAACATTTACTGAAATCACATTTTAGTTATTTGTTATATAAGATTTATATTTATTTAGAAGAACTAAGAATTGCCTCAAATTAATGTCATGGAATTTGGGAGGAAGAGGGGGGGGGGGGAATAATCAAAAAAATTTTAAATTTTGGCGGATAGCAATAAGACGAGAAATGATAACGACTAACTATATTTTTTATCTAAGTTTACAAAGTAGAAAATATATATATCATGACGTGGCTTCTGGAAAACTCCCCTATTCTTCTACTTGCCGCGAAAAGGTTCTTCTTAGGAAAGACGACTTTCATAGCCGCCACAAAATTGGACATCAAATGGCAAGTTTTTGTTCACCCTTTTTAATATTTTTTTCAAAAATTTGGTTATTTATTTATTTGTTTACTGTTTATCCAGAGGCAGAAGTACACTATTTAGGTAATCAATGATAGGGATGCTAGTTTCTGGTCTATTTTCCTGGAGAAATAAATAAAAATCTTTATTTAATAAAAAAAGAAAGTTTTGTTACAGTTATTGTAATCAAATCTGCCAATAGTTAGGCCAGACGAATTTACGAAGGCTGCATCGATTGATTTAATATTTGTCGGTTGATTGATTGATTAACTGGTTGGTTTATTGATTGATTACTAGTTAGTTTATTGATTGATTTATCCAGATCTAACCTCGATGCACTCGAATGTGATTTCGAACTGAAACCGGTTTCTGAAGGGACTTGGATTATCAAGTACAATCACATTGCAAACATGGACCTTAGCCATGTCTCTGAAATAAAGATAATGTTTTATAATAATGCTAAACATAAAAGTATATTCTGAAAATTGTTCTAGTTCTCCGAGTTTTATGCAAATTTTTTAAACATTTGATTTAAGAAATTAACCTTCGAAACTCTAAAGTTAACATGTTTTGAAGAATAAAGATTAAAATGATTTTGGCAGATCATGGTCATTGTTTATCATAAATGTTTAAGAAATTAAGACAAGGAAGATTAAGGACTAGAAGGGATGGAAGATTAAAGACTAGAAGGGAAGGAAGATTAAAGACTAGAAGGGATTGAAGATTAAAGACTAGAAGGAGGGAAGATTGAAGTCCTGAGGTTGAAAGTCTAGAAGGGAAGGAAGAAGCTGTGTTGCAGGAAGGAGATGCTCCTTGGTAACCTTGTGGTGAGGTATCATTACAACCTGAAATAAGAAAAAGAAAATTTAAATTCTTTACACGAATATTTTCTAAAATGAGTGAACAGTCGAGAACAATTAAACATTGGAATGAATGTCGTTCTTGTGCTTTTATTATTTTAAAAGTGTCATTAAAAATTCTGTTATTTGCAACCGATGTTTTTCTATAAGGACCTCACTTCACTAGTCTCCTGGAGCTTTTAATAACTCTTGTAATAATAGAGATAAATGGGGCTAACTTTAAACTTTGCACCTACATTCTTTTTATCCTAAAGGGACAGGAAATGTTTTCAATTTTTTTTCTTCATCAGTAGCGTAGAAAGTGGAAGTCACACCGCCCCCCTCGGGTGGTGTGACCCAAAAACAGGAACTAGTAAGATCCTTTTCAGGACACATTCGCAGAAATTGTTTGTTCAAAAATTACAAAATCAACAGCGAATATTTTGCTTTACCTGCATTCCTGCAGCTATGCCGGCTTCCACTCCATTAGGGGCGTCCTCAAACACTAAACACTGACTAGCATAGGGGGCGTCTAAAAAAGTAATAGTTAAATTAATAAAAAATTGGCATTGTCTTTTTTAGAGCTAAACAAACATGGCAATGGAGATTTGAACTTATTAGAAGAGGAATGACAGGCGACAGCTGCGCATTTTGGGACCCCCCCCCCTTCCCTTGAGTGCCCCTGAAAAAAAATCTCATTTTTTTAGGAAGAGTCAGGAAAAAAAATAAAAATTTTGCATTTTGAAATAATTTTACTAGATTAGCCCGCCATTTTAAGGTGAAATGGCTGGCTCATTTAGGAAAATTATTTCAAAATGCTAAAATTTCGTATTTGAGCTAGTTTTACCCTAATACTTCCTAAAAAATGTGTCGCACATATGGGAATTTTTATAAGGGGCTCCCATCCCTCCCCCCCCCCCCCTTCACCTCTTAAGTCCCGAGGGCGAAAAGTTACCCATTCGTTTTTTCCATTTATACCGTTTAGAAAGACATTATTGGTATTAAATGTTTTTTTTTTCTAAATTCTTAAACTTTGAAAATTCTCAAAAATCCGAAAAATTTGCATAATTAGTCTTTGCTAAAATATTTCTAGAAAATCCTCTAATTTCACTTAAGTTAGTGAAAATATTAAAATATTCAAAAGTTTCTAGAAAATCCGCAAAATTGTTACCTTTGAACCTTGTTCTGCAGACCTCAAATATATCTGGGGACGGTTTACCCCTGATCACTTCAGGATCACAACCTAGGCATAAATATATATTATCTAAGTTGTTCGGACAGTAGTCCAGTCTTTGCCACAACTCTGATTCTCTTAACCATACTTTTCCAACCCAAAGTTTCAATCAATGAACTCAGAGCTGGGAACTTTTGAATGGTGGATATCAGGATAAATGCTTGATCCACTCTTTTTCTTAATCTCCAGATTAAATAATGCTTGTTCTCCTCTTGTTATTAATCTCCAGATTAATTAACCGATCGGGATTGAGGATCCAATTATCTAAGCTTGAAATATCAAAGGTTTACATCAAGCTCGGTCAAGGGGCTCAAGAGTTATGATCGATTCAAACAAAAAAACTGAGATTACTTTACTACTTTATATACATAAATATATACTGCTGAGGATCGTCATGAGACGCGAAACATTATGTTTAGTATAATTCTTTTTTAATAAAATGTGAAGTGTAACTTAAAAATATATATATATATATATTTATTTTTTATTTTGTTAATGCTTGCCGTAATTTTTACTTTAGAAGACACAGAATCTAAAAAAATTATTTTTATAAAAAAAATATTTCATAAATATATCTAAATGAAAAATAATAATAATAATAATAATAATAATAATGTTGTACACCTGTAACAATATGTGAGAAGAGCGAGAATATTTCTGAATGTTTTGATTTGGTTTTCATCTCCATGACATCACGTGTACTACTGGTTGCTACAGCTATAGGAATGTTCCTGAATAAAGATGGAGTTAAAAAAACTAAAATCTTGGTAATAAGAATTTAGATTGTGGAAGAAAAAATCCTTAGCATATTACAGAACTTGAAGAATAAGAGTCATAGGAAAAGAGATCTTAAAGAAGCCCCAGCTTTGGCAACCCAGACCACCGCAGGTAAAGTAAAGGTAAAGTTTCTCCACTACTACTACCCTTGCATGTTTTTAAAATGTGCTCTTAACAGATTTAATAGTTCGGTCTTTATCCAAGAGAAAACTGTGACTTCCGATCACAATTTGAACATATTTTTTGTCTTTCTCTAGCATTTTTTTGTCGACATATAATATTTAGGCAGGTATAGAACTGACCTTGCTTGGAGGTGTTGATAAGTTTTTCAGCTCCAGGTATAGAACTGACCTTGCTTGGAGGTGTTGATAAGTTTCTTAGCTCCGGGTATAGAACTGACCTTGCATGGAGGTGTAGGATAAGTTTCTCAGCTCCGGGTATAGAACTACCCTTGCATGGAGGTGTCGGATAAGTTTCTCTTCTCTGGGTTTAGAACTAACCTTAAATGAAGGTGTCGGATAAGTTTCTCTTCTCCAGGTATAGAACTAACCTTGCATGGAGGTGTTGATAAGTTTCTCAGCTCCAGGTATAGAACTAACCTTGCATGGAGGTGTCGGATAAGTTTCTTAGCTCCGGGTATAGAACTAACCTTACATGACAGTACCAGATAAGTTTCTCTGCTCTGGGTTTAGAACTAACCTTGAATGAAGGTGTCGGATAAGTTTCTCTTCTCCAGGTATAGAACTAACCTTGCATGGAGGTTTCGGATAAGTTTCTTAGCTCCGGGTATAGAACTAACCTTACATGGAGGTTTCGGATAAGTTTCTTAGCTCCGGGTATAGAACTAACCTTGCATGTAGGTGTCGGATAAGTTTCTTAGCTCCGGGTATAGAACTAACCTTACATGGAGGTTTCGGATAAGTTTCTTAGCTCCGGGTATAGAACTAACCTTGCATGAAGGTGTCGGATAAGTTTCTCAGCTCCGGGTAGTAGTTCACAGGTTGGGAACATGGAGAAGGTTTCCTCCTGGTGCAGTCTGCAATACAGGATATCTAACATCTACTCAACATGTTTTAATTAAATGATGATTTAAAGGTTTTTTTAAAGGAATGTCGAATAACTCTGCATTGATAGAGTGGCGTATCCGATTCACACAGGTACCCTTAAAAGCTTTGTCTGATCAAATAAAACGACTCTTTCTTCCACATCATTAATCAGACTAGTGTGAATCCCGCATGCTTCTCCTCAAACAAGGTGTCACTTAAATTGCAACTTCTTAAATCCCTTTAATCATAAATATGGTTTTCATAATTTCATTTTTGGAGGCAGTGTAAGGTTTTCAGAATAACAATTAACATTTGGTAAACCAAATTATATTTTTTTCGTGTCTAATTGCCAAAAAAAAAATTTGATCCTTTTTTAATATCTTTAAAAAACGGAGAATATATTTGATATCTTAAGCTTGCTAATAACGCCATGTTTATTTTTTCCGTAATGTAACCAAATTATTGTGTATATACAAAATGTTTCCCACTAAACATGCTGAGGCCGAAATTAAAGAATTTGAGCCGCGGCTCAAATATGCTTGGTTCCACTTCAAATAGAATTCATTGTTTCAAGATTTAAGCCGGTTTTTGACGGATTTAAAATTCTGCTCAAATTCAATAAATTCGGACACTGTTTCAAGTAAAGTGCGTGAGGTCGTATTCTGAAAATAAATTGCAGCATTTATTTGTGAACCTAATAATAAAAGTATGATTCTGGAAGATAATAATATCTCCTTATGTCGTGGAAACCTTTTATTTGGCTCACACTTTGTCCTATAAAGTTCAAGGACAAGATTAAGATTCAGATTTAAATGTTATGCTCATTGGGAGGCAGAAGCCCAAAGGAGTTACGCGCAGGTCGCGTTGAATTGCAAGACAGAGAGAGAGCCTGTTCTAGCCGCGGCACTCGACCCCTAGCCTTTCGTAACCGCAGCGCTCGGCCCAGAGAGTCTTAACCTAACCTAACCCTAAAATATATACTAATCTCTCTCTATCTTATAATTGAACGCGGCAAGCGCGCGTAACTCTTCTAGGCAACGGTCTTCTTTGGACACTCAGTTAAAGAAGAACCCAACCTGAGATATTCCTCTGGTGTGTACGGTAGCTCATAGTGTTCCACAGCCATTGTAGCAACCTCAAGATACTTTCTCCCGATCACCTTCATAATCAATCAATCAATCAATCAATCAATCAATCAATCATTCAACCATCCAATCAATCAATCAATCAATCAACCAACCAACCAATAAATCAACCAACCAACCAACCAACCAACCAGCCAGCCAACCAAACATCCAACAAACCAACCATCCAACCCACCAACCAACACACCAACCAAACCACCAACCAACCAACCAACCCACCAACCAACCAACCAACCAACCAACCAATAAAAGCACAGCCGTGCTTGAAATTAAAAGCAATTTGTCAATTTTTCAGCCAATTATTGTATTTATTTATCTTTGAAAAAAAAAATTATTTGACACAAAATAATTTTTTTTAAAATTCCCTCTTACCTTCATCTTAAAATTCCAGTCTGACTGTTTTCCATGTTTACCGAGTATACGTGCAGACGCTTCGCTGTACATGTTCTAATCAGATAGACTAGTAAACAATAGGCGCGTACACTTAATAATACGGTCGAGTTGTATCTATATATAAATTTGGCTTGTCTGTCTGTTTTTTTGTATCCAATAAACGTCAAATTTTTTGTGGGACATCACGTGACCACAGGGAAGGTTTATGAATGATAAAAATTTTAAAAAATGTGTTTTAAAGGTTTTTAATTTTGTAAAAAAAAATTAAATTCTTGAATATCCACGAATTTTTTTTTAATTCGCAAAAAATTTTTCTTTTTTTGTTTTAAAATGTAAACAAAAAGAAGATGTTCACAATTTAAATAGAAGATGGGCGCGAAAGGCCCTAAAAGCCTAGTCTTTATATAAATTTGGCTTGTCTGTTTGTTTGTCTGTCTGTCAAAACGGCTGAACCAATCGGGCCCAAATTTTTTGTGTGACATCACGTGACCACAGAAAATATTAAGAAAATAAAAAAATACTTATGTACATTGTACAAAAATTAATTGCACTTATCATTAAAAGTCTCTGTACATATTATTATTGGGTAGGTAGAGTAGTGAGAAAAATTCTACAAATTAGATCATTTTTATCCTTTCTGAACAATTTCGCTATTCTAACCAGACGAGAATAGTATACAATATTTATGTAGGGGGAACATATTTTACAAATGAACCCGTAACAAGTAAGACATCTGTATATAAATTTGGCTTGTCTGTCTGTTTGTTTGTTTGTCTGTCTGTTTGTTTGTATCCAATAAACGTCAAAACGGCTGAACCGATCGGGCCCAAATTTTTTGTGGGACCTCACGTGACCACAGGGAAGGTTTATGAATGATCAAAATTTCAAATATTTGTCTCCATCAAAATTCGATCTTCATTAAATTTTTGAAAATTTTGAAAATCCACGAAATTTTTTGTGAAAATCCGCGAATTATTTTTGTTTTGTTTTACGATGTACACAAAGAGAACATGTTCACAATTAATTTAGAAGATGGGCGCGAAGCGCCCTCTAAGGCTAGAAAGAAGGGCGCGAAGCGCCTTGAATTTATAGTTTTGTAATATCTCTGTAAATATTAATCTTTTAAAGAGACATCAAAAGTACACAATAACTAAAGTAAAAATATTGGAATTTCGATTAGCTTCAAAACAAAGAGCAATCCAAGAAATATCTGTATGCACCACCCCTCCCCCCCCTTAGGAACACTGAACAGCTATCAGAGCTTATATGTTCCGACACCCTCCATACTTACCATAGTATTAAGAAGAAGTCCGTCCATATCAAAGATAATATGCGTCACAGGTTTATATCCAAAACTAGGTAATCCAAAATCCTAGAAAGAAAAGAAAAATAGAAAAATATTTTTAACCAGTTAAACGGTTTTCTCTCTCGTCGAGCAGATATAGCAAAAAGATTTAGCATTGTTAAGTGGTTTAAATTAAATTGTTTTTAGAACGACTGACCTACTGGTAAAACATAATTGATCATGATCAATATTTATTTTTAAGGCACAAGAGAAGGACAACCTCCCGTGTTTATACTGGTAAAGGCTAGGTTAAGATACAGACAGATAAAAAAAAGAATAAAGCAGACTCACTTTAGGATCAAATTGATGAAGATGTTGAACACTGTGAGAAGCAAGCTTAGCATGCTCTGGGTCAAGTTTATAATCAGGGACCATGAGAACCTGCATACCCCCGTCTAGTCCAGCCTAAACAATTTAGGATCAGGGACCATGAGAACCAGCATACCCCCGTCTAGTCCAGCCTAAACAATTTAGGATCAGGGACCATGAGAACCAGCATACCCCCCTCTAGTCCAGCCTAAACAATTTAGGATCAGGGACCATGAGAACCTGCATACCCCCGTCTAGTCCAACCTAAACAATTTAGGATCAGGGACCATGAGAACCTGCATACCCCGTCTAGTCCAGCCTAAACAATCTAGGATCAGGGACCATGAGAACCTGTAAAACCCCTCCTAGTTAAGTCTAAACAGTTAAGGATCAGGAACCATAAGAACCTGTAAAACCCCTCCTAGTTCAGTCTAAACAGTTAAGGATCAGGAACCATAAGAACCTGTAAAACCCCTCCTAGTTCAGTCTAAACAATTCAGAAAATTTGTGTTTTCAAAGTCCCAACTTTAGGTTTATCAGTTCTTCTCTTTTTCATATCTCAGCTGAACACTTCAGAATTGTGGATATCAAGATCAATGCTTGGTCTCCTCATTTTTTTATCTCAAGATTAGTTCAATCTTTATTTTGTACCTTGGAAAATGTAAAAAATTCAACCAATCAGAAATGCACATTACACAATACATGTATCCCACACCTGCTCACTCTCTCTCTGCCTCTCTCCGCCAGACTTCTGCACATTACACAATACATGTATCCAACACCTGTTAGTGTTCACTCTCTCTCTATGCCTCTCTCTGCCAGACTTCTGCACATTACACAATACATGTATCCCACACCTGTTAGTGTTTACTCTCTCTCTATGCCTCTCTCCGCCAGACTTCTGCACATTGCACAATACATGTATCCCACACCTGTTAGTGTTCACTCTCTCTCTATGCCTCTCTCCGCCAGACTTCTGCACATTGCACAATGCACGTATCCCACACCTGCTTACTCTCTCTCTATGCCTCTCTCCGCCAGACTTCTGCACATTACACAATACATTTATCCCACACCTGTTAGTGTTCACTCTCTCTCTATGCCTCTCTCCGCCAGACTTCTCGCTCATTCTTTTTTTAGCCCTCTATATCGACTTATTCTCTTTTTCTTACTTTTCTTTTCCATTAAAATAAAAAGAATAAAATGCTGATAATAATTGCGAAGACAGTAAATTGTTTGACGCGAGGAGAAATTATGATAATTCTGTTCCCCTCTTTATTCTCCTCACTTGAACTCTATTTATTCATTACTCGCATTTTTTCTTTTTTTCTATCACATCTTTTCTCTCACTTTTAGCATACTCTAAATATGGATGTCTCCCTAAACTCTGGCCCCCCCCCCCCTCCCTCACCCTTCTTGATAATGTCTGAACTAACCTGAACCCCAAGGGGTGCATCCTCTACCACCAAACAGTCTTCTGGGGCGATACTAAAAAGGTATTCTCTTGAAAAAGATTTCAAAAAAATGTTACTTTATTGGAATTTTAGAAAATGTAAGCAAAAAGTAAAAAAATGTAATTTTTCAAAAAAAAATGTCACTTTATTGAAACTGAATACAGATTTATTTTCCCTGGCGGTATCATGGAATCCGGAAATGGAAGGTTATTTTTTTATTCATTAGTTGCTTTCACACACTCACTAGTAACTTTTGTATTTTCTGTTCTTATAATTGTTGATAAATCAATTAAAAAAAAATAAGAAAAAAAATTTAAAAATGCAATGTTTTTAATTAAATGTCACTTAATTAAAACCGGATCCAATTTCCCAGCCTGAATCATGATCCGGAACTAGCATTAAAATAAAGTTGGTTGTACTTACTTGAGTTTGCTGGCTGCCAACAGGAAAATATCAGGACTAGGCTTTGCTCGTCTAATTGAAAATGAAACAAATTTTATTTTTAAAATTTAAAAAAAAAATTTACTAAAAAGGTGTGTCTTACCTAACCTCAGGATTGTCCCCCTTGATAATTAAATCAAAGAGAGAGAAGAGTCCAGAATGATTTCTGGTTTTCATCTCAAATGCACTAAATAATAAATGTAAATTATACAAGTACTGCAGTCAACCCCGGTTTTGGACCAAGCGCTTCGGCAAAAGACATTTACTAAATCGAATCAGATTTAGTAAATGTCTTTTATTATCATTCAGGAATTTGTCTCTTCTTTTGGAATTTGTTTTAGAAACAGTTTTAAATGTTTTAATTCTTTTTAAATTATACTAATTTGATTTCTCTCGAAAAATCTAAATCTTCCTCATGACTTAAATCAAGAGATTTAACAGCATGGATGGCCATTGGGCGTTTGGCAACTAATTGCAACTTAAAATAGTTTCAATAACTATAGGAATATTATTTTCTTTAACCAGCTATTGAGCTAATAATGTAACACGGTTTAGCTACTTGTTTCAATAGCTTTAGGTATATTGTAATCTTATTCCAGCTATTAAGCTAATAATTTAACACGGTTTAGCTCCTTGTTTCAATAGCTTCAGGTAAATTGTAATCTTATTCCAGCTTTAAGCTAATAATTTAACACGGTTTAGCTACTTGTTTCAATAGCTATAGGTATATTGTAATCTTATTCCAGCTATTAAGCTAATAATTTAACATGGGTGAGCGACTAGTTTTGATAGCTATAGAGATATTAACTTGCTATTAAGCTAATAATATAACCTAGTTGATCTAATAGTTGCAATAGCTGTAGGACATATGTATCTTGTGTTTAGCTAGATGATGATACAAAGCTATTAATATAACTTTGTTGAGCTACTAGTTGCAATAGCTATAGGTATCTTGTGCTTGGCTAAATATAGAACTGGCTATTAAGCTATTAATATATCCTGGTTGAGCTACTAGTTGTAGGTATCTTGTGTTTGGCCAAAAATGAACTATTTTAAAGCTATTTATAAAACCTGATTGAGCTTCCATTTCCAATAGCTATAAGTATCTTATGCTAAGCTAATTTAACGCTATTATCATAACCTGGTTGAGCTACTAGTTGCAATAGCTATAGGTATATTGTGTTTAGCCAAATGATGAACTAATTTACTGACTCCTGGAAGTGATTTCACATTGGGGAAAAGTTGCTGGTACACCTCCTGATAATTTAATAACTATTAAACATTTAAAGGGACTGACAACGGTACAGAAAGTCACTTAAAAGTTTTAAATTGCCGTCAACACTTCAAATCTGTAAATTTTAACCCTTTCTCTCAGAACCGATGGCAAGAAAATATCGGTTTTTTTCTGTTCAAAATATGACGATTTGCNCCCCCCCCCCTCCCCCAGTTAAAACAGATAATGACTTGCGAATTTGTACAGCATATACAAGCCAAAAACTGGGCTAGATTTGTTTAATCCCATTAGTTCACAAGGCTAACGTCCCAAAGTGTGAATGGTTGATCTTGTAGTTTTTAGGGTCATATTAAAATTTAAAGATAAGTTGATAATCTTAAGATGATGAAGGAACCCTTACTAAATTAATATTACCGTAGAACGTTGAATCCATTGTTCAGGTTTCAGAGGCAGCTGATAGTGTTCAATTATCATTCTAATTAATGGAAACATCAAATGCAATTTGCAAGGAAACTTTTCATAATTCACAGATAATAATGAATTTTCCTATTTAATTGACCCCCTTCTTAGAGAATCTCAATAAAGCCACTTTATTGTATTTTCTATGAACATTGTTCAATTCTATAATCCAACTTTTTTGGTTCAAAATCGAATAGAAAATTTCATACCTATGATCCATTTAAAAGATTTACTAGGGTAATAAAGGATAATAATTTTTGATGATCTGGAAAGAAAGTAGGAAAAATTGCACATCAAGAGGCAAGTTTTTTTTTATAATTTTTGATACTTATGTTCCCAAAGATTTATCTATTTTCCTTGATTTAGCGTAAAAAAAATCTAAAAAACATACATTACTTCTAAAGAACATAATGATTTTCAAAGAGAGGCGGGGAATGGTTATTCTAAAAAATATACACCCCTGACAATTTATTTTCCCCTTCTTTATGGAAATTCAACAAGTTTATCTCTAACCACGTGCCAAAGTTGATTCCAAATCATTATTCAATTTCATTTCTTTTTCGGGTTTTTAAAATTTTTTTTTTCTTCGGTTTCTTACAAGGGTCAATCTTTTCTTGCTAATTAGTTTGGAAGGTTTAAGAAATATTAACCTAACTAGTTTGGAGAAAAGATCTTCTCAACCCCCCCCCCCCC